TACATTTGGAAGAAGACATCAATCTTTTGATTATGTCACTTTACTTAGTTAACTTTTATCTTATTTATATTTTTATCTTGTCTATTTATATTTCTCTCTTTCATAATGTTTAGCTAAGTTTATTATGTCAAAGTGAAAATATTACATTAATGGTGTAAGAATAAGTATATTGTAAATTCAAAATGGACTTTAATTTTTCATACTAATATGTTTTGTATTTGTTATCTTGTTTACTTTTAATACTTTGCTTATTAAATAGTTAATCTAAATTTGTGTTGTATAATATTTGGTACAACAAATACTTAGTACTTTCATAGCCTAACCGTATGGTATAACCGACACATGTGCTATGAAATGAATTTAATTTATTGTTAACGTAAGTTATAATCATGAATATCTGACAATATTTATTAACATTATTTGAATAAGATAATTAATGTAATCATGTTAACAATTTATAATCTGATTGAAACCTTCTTTGTGTGTGGTTTCTATTTAAGTAACAAGAGTTTATACTATACTTGTTTGAAATACCATTAGTGGATCTTCTAACCTTGACATTTGTTTTTATCATTGTTTTATTCTCACATTAATCTTACAATCTCAAAATTCTCTTTAACTTCTTCTTCTTCTTATTTATATTATTGTTGTTATTGTTGTTGTTATCATTACTACTACTATTCTTGTTGTTGTTGTTGTTATTATTTATAATTTATATAATTAACCTCCCTGTGGTTCGACCACGGTCTTGCTGGGTTATTTATTACTTCGACACTCTTACATTTGGAAGAAGACATCAATCTTTTGGTCTTATCAATACCATACTTTAAATCTTTAACAATTGTATTCGACTTTATAAATCCATATGCCAATATATGGATATACCTACACTACACATCTCCCGATAGCTTACCAAGTTTGAACATGGTTAGGGTATTCTATTGTCTTCTTCCTCGTATATTCAACACAAAATTTTTAGTGACTTTGATTAGGTTTCTTGACATGATACTAAAAGTCAGGTACTTGTTACTATATATTTATTGAAAACTCTCTTATTTCTTAGAAATTCAAGATACAATATATTGTATCTCGCTTCATAGCTTAGTCAGAATATTGGTATATGACTTCCCCTTGCTCAGAACTTACCTGGCTTCGATATCTCCATCAAGATGTACATGTCTTTTATCCTTAAGCAGCTCGGCTTTATTACGACAATTAGGTTGCTCTGTATATTGTTGCAAACCCTCTTTTTCATGAACGCATGAAAGACATCGAATTGAATTGTCATATCATTTGTGATAAGATACAAGACAGTAGCATCTCAACTACTTATGTTGTTTCTCGTTGTCAACTAGCAGACATATTTATAAAAGCTCTTTCTTTTTCTATTTTTCAGAGACACCACACCAGCCGCATGACAATCAACCAGCACCAAGCAACAAACTACAACAAGATTGGTAAATGCAATAAAATAAATCTTTTGTATTCTTTCACTTTTTTTGTTTTTTTCTTCTTATTTAGCTGAATGCGTTTCTGTTATAAGAACATAGAACAAAGTAGTTTGTTATACTAAGTTGTGTATAAATATAGTTGTGCTCTCCGCAATTCATAATTATCAAGCGTGAAGTAATAAGCAATTTACTGCAACATTTCATCCTTCATGTAAAAGTTCTCTTTCTTGATCATTTCATATCCTCGTTAGATTCTTTCACTGTGAAGATTGTGCTGTTAAGAATAACACAACCTATAAATTGCATGCGAAGGGCAACCGTCAATTTTAAAAACAATTTTAGATTGTACTGCGGGAAATTGCGCAACTATAATGGAATGCACGAAATTTATTTCTTTATTTTTAAATAAAATACAGTGTACGATGCGTCTTTCACTTATTCATTTTCTAGTTTTCATTAGAAAAGTGGGTTCCAAATATTTATATCTTAAAACTCAAATTTTTACTTGATTTTACTAGAAAAATCCATAAAAAATCTTAGAAAACTTAATAATACCAGTTTCAACCCAAAAAAAAAGAGAAAAATCCTCTCACCACTTTAAAGACTGAAAATCAAACCGAAGTGCACTTTCGTGCCTTGAGAATAGTAAAACAAGGCAACGTTCCCTTACAATACAGTTCTTTTGAGTACTGGAGGGAAACAACAAGGTCTATAACTAAATCAATTGGTTTATTGTATAATATAATTATAATTGTAATTTATATTTAAAAAAAACCCCGGTGACCCATAACGCCGTTGCTCCGGCGTAGTGACACCAATCTCATCTTTTTATGGACAAGGCATCCATACATCTTGTAATGATTAATCAATACGAAGTAATGCATCAATCTTAAATTTGGAAGAATACAAAAACATAATCATAAAAATAATATAAATATGGGATACATTTGTTGAACGCTCATTAAGTGCAACAGGAGTAATCCACCAAAGAAAATAGTGAATCCATATTTGAACTAGAAATCTAAAAGATTACCAATTCGAATAATCACTTAGCTTATATATACTCTTATACCAGCGTCTTTGATGGTCACCACAAAAGCTAAAATCGTGAAGTGGAAGAGTAAAGACAACGTGGAAAAAGATGACTATGATGAAATCACACGTCAATTCGACCGCTCGACAGGCGAGACTAATAAGTTGGAATTTAAAATTTTTATAGAAGTTGTTTTTTAAAATATATTTTAATTAAAAATATATTAAAATAATATTTTTATTATTTTTTTATTTTTTAAAATTTATTTTTAATATTAACATACTAAACTAATTAAAAAATAAATTTTAAAAATAAAAATTCAAAACAATTAAGCATAATCGAACTTTAGAAGTAAGGAACTATTCGGAATAAAGTCCAATTCACATTTTATAAAAATTTTAATTTTTTACTTAAAATTAATATTTTTTAATTATTTTGATCATTAATATTAAAAATAATTTTTTTAAAATAAAAAATATTATTTTAATATATTTATAATAAAAAACTAATTTAAAAAATATCTACAACTAAAGAAAAAACTTCTTGGTAAGTTCTTTGATGCATCTCAATATAACTTCGATAATGAGCAAAGTGGTATTTGGGCTCCACCAATACCTGCCAGAAGTGTTTCCTAGGCTTCACAGCAGGCCATATTTACTCTTGAAGATGACTTTTTCTGTACAAGGCGCATTGCTTGTTTCAATGTTTTTATATTTTGATTTTTTTTTAAATTTAATTTTTATTTTTTCATATTAAATTAATATTTTTAAATTATTTTAACATACGGATATTAAATATAATTTTAAAAAATAAAACATTATTTTAAGATATTTATAAATAAAAAAACTTTAAAAAACAATTATAATTACACTTCAGCATGAGCTTACTAATTCATTGAAGATCCCTTCATTATGATATCATTTGTATTGTTTCAGTTCGCCGGGGTTTCTTCTTCATGCTTTTATACAATTCTCTATTTTTCAGCATATGAGCAATTCCAGATAACGCTATGCATGTTCTTCATTGCATTTCGTGGGGAGAAAAATAGGTCGAGTAATTTGCATATCTTGGATCATAAATTATGTGCACCCGTATTTGATATCTTTTTAACGGATACATTATATGGATGTATGCATGCTGATCATGTAAAAGTTAAATTTATATATAGATACAAAGCGGAAATTTCCCTTCTTTGTTAAGATTATTTATTGGTACTTTGTTTGATTAATTATTATTTGGGTAACATTTTGTAATTAAGCTTTGTCCAGAAAATTAATAATGTTTGGATTCTTTTTGCCCCTTCACTCGCAGGCCTTTTGGTGCAATTAAAAGACGTCTGCCTTAATTAGTGCCATCCTCGCCTTAATTGCTTTTACAAAAGGCATGTTTTGTCTCATATCATCGTTCCCAGACTGCATTGGGAAGCTTAAGGATTGCAAGAAAAGGTTAATTAAGTTAAAAAAATAATATTGAACCCTAAGCATTTCCGTTTAACCACGACGTAATGTTGTGCTACTTTCTCATTCTAAAACTACAGCAGTTATCAATCAACGGAGGCAAAAGGATATTCCAGTCAAAAATATAGTTTTAAAAATGAGGCTTGGCTGGTAGGTTGACCTGGGATTCGAAGCTGAAACCAGATCTTATTTATAAAAAAATAAAAATAATTAAAAACTTAATTGACCCAGTCAATTAGAATTAACTTAAATGATTCAATTAAAACCTATAACCTAAATCTTGAATAAGGTTAATTATTGGGCTGAGTTTAAAAACACCAGTACAAAAAGATCCCTGAAAGTATATGGTCTTGGTATAACGTTTGTATCCCTTTTAGGTGACTAATGCACTTAGATTCCAAAGAAAGAGCTGCATGTTATTGTTCTTTTTATTACTTGTATGATATATGTACCACACTTTAAATCTTCAACAACTGCGTTCAACTTTATAAATTCTTGCTTAGATACAGGTTTAATTTGTGTTTTCTGATTCCAAAATAAAGAACTGAAGAGGTAGAATATATTTGAATTAGTACAATGTAGCATCATGGGACACGGCCAGCAATCTAAAGGGATTTTCAGACTGGATTTCCCGCTAAAAAGCCAGGCATTTGCTTTCCAATCAGAGGACACTGCATAACAGCTCAATTATGTCCAAAGGTGTAACAAGCTTCCTTTCTGTTTTTCTAAATTCTTCTTTTATCTGCTTGAATAAGATTCCCTCTCCTTTACTGTTTCACTGTGTAAATCAATGTTTGGGTCGGTTTTAAAGTGGATGCGGCCATGGTAGATGGTCTGCATAAGAAATCTTGGTCGTTACTGTTCTTTTTTATTAAGGCAATGCACTAACAAAGTAAAGAGAAACAAACAAATATATTATTTCGCTAGAGCTTATTCTACCAGAAAATCCCATCCTCTTTGTCTGGCTGACAAGAAGACTAGGCAAGACAACTTGTAAAGAAACGGACAATTACTAGCTAATATACAGATAGGGAAGCATGCAAACCTAACCTGAGAGCACCACTTGCTTTTTATATGTTCCTCTTTGTCCGTCTTCTTAACCATTTCTTTTGTTCAACCTCGACCTTCGTTACGAACCATTGTGGCTTTCCTGTCGTGAATACAATATATCCCATGGACAATCCAATCACCAGCCCACTTCCATAACCTATCATGGCAAACTTCCAATTGAATAAGCTTGCAGGATCTTCATTCTCTTGGAATGGTGGGGGTTGTGGTGCCACATCACCACTACATTTCACAGATAACGGAAATCCGCACAGCAGCAAGTTTCCAACATATGAATCATTCTGAAAGGTGTCAAATTGACTACCATGAGGAATAGGGCCTACAATGATTCGTGCGAGAGATCAATGATTCGTAGACTAGAGAAAGGAGATATCACAGTGGGATTGCCTATAGAACCATGTAGTCTGTTAGAGCGCAGCACCAGAACCTGTAGCTTCGGAAGAGTTTGCAGCCAAAGGGGAAAACTATCATTTATGTAATTGTTTCCCAGATCGAGGACTTCCAACATTTTGCAATTAGCTAAGGATAGTGGTAACGATCCTTCCAACTCATTGCCATTCAAATCAAGACTTCTTACTTTATTTCCCTCTGTAAATGATCCTGGAATGGTGCCATGGAAGCTGTTGCTCCTCAAATTCAACACGGATAGTTCAGTACTGAAGTTCCCCAAGCACTGTGGAATATTGCTACTCAAACTATTATTAGATAAGTTTATGATTTGGAAGGTGGTGATATTGCAAATCCAAGGTGGGATTTCTCCAGTGAGTTTATTATTTGCTATTAAAAGAATGTACATGGATTGTGGAAGAATTGGAAATGGTTGTTGAAGCAAGTTGGAAGTGAGGTCAAGATATTGTAAGCTGGGAGGAAGTTCGTTGACAATGGTCAGAAAGTTGTGAGAAAGATCCAAATATTGTAAAGATTGCATCCCCTTTGCTGACAGCCATTTGGGAATTTCTCCATGAATTCTATTGTGGGATAGGGACAAAAAGTTGAGTTGATTTTGAATTTTCAAGAAGTCTGGGAACTCAATTATGTTGCAAGACGACAATGCCAGTTTGTAGAATTGGGGCCAGGTTGAGTTCCTAATATTATTAGTGACGACAGACAGACTGTTGTGTGAAAGATCAAGTCCCCAGAGGTTTTTCATGTTTGAAAACAGGTTTAAGTCCACAATACCGCTCAAGTTGTTTGATGAAACATCAAAATTGGTGAGATTCACCAATCCAGAGATTGATGGTGGAATACGACCATTTATCTTGTTACTTTCCAGTCTTATTTCTAGCAAAGACTTTGACCAATGGTCACCAAGTTCTCCAGTGAGGTGGTTATTATTAAATTTAAACCGGACCACTGATGGGAGACCGAACAAACAAGATGGTATTGTGCCACTGAGCAAGTTATAAGATAGGTCAAGATAAGTAACATTGTCAAGGCCACATATGTAATCAGGAAGAGTTCCCTCTAGCTGGTTTTGAGACAGGTCTAAACGTAGAAGTTCAGTGAGGTTAAAGACAGATGATGGCAACATACCACTGAAATTACCGTTTTGAAGGGATAGGCTGTTTAGTTTGCTGAGGTTGCCGAAAACATCCGGGATCTGCCCTGTCCAGTTGTTATACGAAAGATCTAATTGATTGAGCTGTTGAAGATTCCCAAGCGAAGCTGGAACTGATCCGTAGAAAGCACAGTTTGCAAGATCCAACACCTTGATGGAGTCAAGATTGCCAATTATATCTGGCAATCCTCCTGAGAAACTTGTGGAGCCAAGATTCAACTGTTCAAGAGAACTGCTCCAATTGGACACAGGTAAATGCCTTGCAATCCACATAATACGAGGCTGAGAGAAGTTAGTGAAGAAGATAGGTTCATCAAGGAACCAAGCTCAACTGAAGACATGTTTATGTAATCAAGAAAAATCTCTCTTACTTGAGTAAGGTTTTGCACAATCATTTTCATGGCTGGTGCTTCGAGTATCAATGGTTCATTCAAGGAAAGATCAAGAGAGATCAATTTGGACAAGTGAGATATTTCAGTTGGGACTTGACCTGAGAACCATGTGCTAGAAAGGTTAAGGTGTGTCAAACTTGAAAACATACCAAACTCAGGTGGAATGGAGGAGCGGTTAAAATAATTGAAAGCAAGGTTGAGTCTCCGAAGGTGTGAAAGGTGAAAGAGACAGCTGTTGGAACTGAGGTTGCCTCTAAGACCACTGCAACTAAGGTCAAGAGCGATCACATGACCTGTGACCCCATGGCATGCGACTCCATCCCACGAACAGCAATCTGTTCGAGATTTCCATGAGGCCATCCTAGGATAAGGAGGGCTGCAATCCAACGAAGCGGATTCATCATACTCAAATCCATCCTTAAGTTGGAGTAAAGCATAGCTTTCATCTTTGGGGCATAATTGTGACACAGTTAGTTGACAATACAACTTCAATATCACGAGGCAGAAGATGACTTGACCGGCCCGTCCTGAGCAACTCATTGTTCTCATGCAAGTCTGAGATTGAAGGCGAGGTGATGCTTGGAAAGGAGGTACAAGATGGTGGAAGTTATGTTCACTTTCTGCACCAACTTGTTCGATATATCAGCCAGCAATATTAATCTTTCAAAATAAATTAATTCTTTCAAACTCATGTATAATTCTTCGATGTTTCGTGTTTGCAATCTTGTGAGGTGTAGCGAGTAGGGAAAAAAGAGACTAAAAAAACATTTTAATTTAGACTTCGCATCATATCCAGTTATTTTAACATATCTTGAACATACTCCTTGAAAACTGATACCTTTGCAAGTTGGAATAATAGTTCATGAAAGACAGAAACGTTCCGACACCGCCATTAAAAAGAAAAAGAAAAAGAAAAAGAAAAAGAAAAAGAAAATCTCACGCAAGGGGTTAATTTATTCATTTTGAATAAAAAAACTGAATTCTTGGAGTCATTTTGTTCAAGTAAAACTCTTTCGAATAGTATAGGTGATAGGAACATGTTGAAATGGTCGAACATATTAAACTAATTAGTTGTTAATGCTAAGGAAATGGTTACGAGTTGTAACATTGGACGCTAATTGAAGATTAAGATATGATAAAGCAACAGATGTGACAGGTGGAATGGAAGTGCTATTATTAATTAGTTTATTCGAGTCCTTCTCTGTTTGATTGAAAAACAAGCCAAAAAAAAAAAAGAATTTTTGTTCTGTCCCACGGAGAGGTAAGATAATTGATCACTTTAACATTGGATTTTCAATATCCTAAGTGCTTTTTTCGTGTTCTGTCCACACAGAGAGTAAAGGTGAATTCAGTGTGCCCTTGGATATAAATAACTATCTATAAATTGGGGTTTTTTTAAAAAAAAAAACAAATTAATGAACTGATTAATGTGGATAGAATTATCTTTTCATTAGAATCAATTAGTTACTATCAGGTTGACTGGAAACAATTCGTTTTTTTTCCTTTTTTCAGGCATAAAAGAGTAACTACAATATTTTTGAAAGCAAAATTAATTTAATTGTAGCCTAAGAATTTTCTTGACTTTTATTTTTTTTTAAATAAAAAAAAACCTAATTACCCATAAAAGCAAAAAAAATAAAAATATTAGCTGTCATTAATGGGGTTTTTCATATTTTCTTCTTGGTTTATTCATAATAAATTAATAAATAATTTAGTCTTTTAATAAATATGAAAATCAAAAAAATGGTTGATGTGTGCAACACGCTTACCAACTCTGAAATGTGAAACAAGTAAAAAATTAATGTTTTCTTTCAAATATAGAAATGTTGAAGTAATAAATAACCCGATAAGACCAGGGTCGAACTATAAAGAGTTAATTATATAAATTATAAATAATAATAATATAACAACAACAACAACAATAATAACAATAATAACAATACTACTACTACTAATAATAGTAATAATAATAATAGTAGTGGTAGTAGTAATAATAATAATAATAATAATAATAATAAAGAATAAAAAGAAAAAGTTGATGAGAACTTTGAGATGGAAGATTAATATAAGGATCAAATAATGATAACAACAAATATCAAGGTTAGAGGATCCACTAATGTATTTCAAATAAGTATAATATAAATTCTTATTACTCAAATGGAAACTACACACAAAGGAAGTTCTAATCAGATTATAAATTGTTAACATAATTATATTAACTATCTTATTTGAATAATGCTAATACTTGTAAATATTGTTGGGCATTCATGATTATAACTTATATTAATAACAAATCAAGTTCCTTTCATAGTACAGGTGTAGGTTATACCATACAGTTGAGCTATGAAAGTGTCAAGTATTTGTTGTACCAAGTGTTATACAACATAAATCTAGATTAGTCATTTAACAAGTAAAGTATTAAAAAGTGAACAAGATAACAAATAAAAAACATGTTAGTATCAAACATTAAAGTTCATGTTAAGTTTACACTATACTTATTCTTACACAATTAGTGTAACCTTTTCACCATGATATAGTAAACTTAGCTAAACATAATAAAAGAGAGAAACATAAATAAACAAGATAAGAACATAAATAAGATAAAAGTTAACTAAGTAAATGAAAGATATAAACTTGATATTAATGAAAGCAAAGCATAAACATGACAAAAAATACAAATAGAGAAAGCAAGAGCATGGTCTTGATTTGGAAACCAAGATGCCTAAATGCATAGCAAATGCCTCCTTTTATAAGCTGAAATTAGAAACTATTGATTTGATGACTAATTGATAAGTGGGTGACCAACTCTTGACTTGTTGATATTCATTATTTTCTCTTATCTAAATAAAATATCATTAATAACACCATATATTCCTCAACAAAACGGTGTTGCAAAAAAAAACATTGAACCATTATGAATATGGTGCATAGTATGTTGTTGGAGAAACAAATTCCAAAATCCTTTTAGCAAGCAGTGAATTGGGTAGTGCATGTGCTGAATAGAAGTCCCATTCTTGTCGTCAAAAACAGAACACCTAAAAAAGCTTGGAATGGCATCAAACCTTCAGTAGCACATTTTAGAGTTTTTGGTTGTATAATACATGTCCATGTTCCTGATCACAGAAGGGTGAAGCTTGATGCCAAGAGTCTGAAATGTATCTTTCCAGGGGTAAGTGAAAACTCTAAACCATACAGGCTTTTTTATCCTATTTCACAGAAGATAATTATTAACAGGGACGTGGTTTTTGAAAAGGATCAACAATGGAATTGGGATGATATTCACAAGCCAGTCACAGTAGCTGATTTAGCATGGGAAGTCACTGAAAACAAAAATAATGAGGATGAGTCTCATACAATTGAAGAATCGGTGGAGAATGGGTATGCACGGAGTAATTTTCAAGAAGAACCTTCACATGCTGTTGTTGCAGCATTAGATGAAAATGGCACCGAACATGTTAGTCTTCAAGCACTCAGATCAGCCAACTCATCCAGTACAGAAACCACAATTCCAAAAGGCAGAACACGCTAACGTCTTGCATGGCCGATAGACTATGAAACTGATCACAGTTTCTTCGTTGCAACAGATGTGAATATAGCTCATTTAGCTTTGTTCACCAATAGTGATCCAACAACATTTGAAAAGGCTGTGAAAAGTGAAAACTAGAGGCTTTCCATGAATCAGGAAATTGTAGCAATTGAGAAAAATGAGATGGGAATTAACAAATCTGTCGTTAGGAGGAAAAATAGTTAGAGTGAAGTGGATTTTTAAAACCAAACTCAACGAGCTTGGGGAAGTTGATAAGTATAAAGCTCTTTTAGTTTCTAAAGGCTATAACCAATAATATGGGGTGGATTATGCATAAATATTTGCACCAGTGGCTCGCTTAGACACAATTCGTATGGTGCTCACTTTTACAGCACAACAAAGTTGGTTGATTTATCAACTTGATATAAAATCAGCCTTCCTGCATGGTGAAATTAATAAAGAGATGTTTGTTAATCAACCTCCAGGTTATGAGCATAAGGGGGAAGAAACGAAAGTCCACCGACTCAAGAAAGCACTGTATGGACTCAAACAAGCTCCCTAAACTTGGTACAGTCGTATAGAGTTCTATTTCTCCAAAGAAGGCTTCACCAAATGTCCTTATAAATATACTTTGTTCATAAAAACAGCAGTTAGAGGTAAAATATTAATCATTTGTCTTTATATTGATGATCTTATTTTTACCGGAAATGATGAAGTTATGTTCGATCAATTTATGAAGTCAATGATGGCTAACTTTGACATGACTGACCTTGGGAAAATGAGATATTTTTTAGGCATTGAAGTATTGCAAAAGGAAGATGGCATCTTTATTAGCCAACAAAAATATGCTCACAAGGTTCTAGAAAGATTCAATATGGGTGAGTGCAACTTAGTCAAAAATCCAATTGTTCCTGGATTTAAATTTTCAAGGGATGAAGGAGGAGTGCAGGTTGATAGCACACTCTACAAGCAAATGGTGAGAAGCCTCATGTATCTAACTGCCACACATCCTGATTTAATATTTGTGGTAAGTCTAATTAGTAGATACATGGAGCATCCCATTGAGTCTCAATTGATGGTAGCAACAAGGATTCTAAGGTATGTAAAGGGGACAACTAGTTTTAGGATGTTTTATAGGAAGGAAGGAGGTTGACACAACTAAAAGATTGATGTCTTCTCCCAAGTACAAGAGTGTCGAAGTAATAAATAACCCGGCAAGACCGAGGTCGAACCACAGGAAGGTTAATTGTACAAATTATAAATAACAATAATATAACAACAACAATAACAACAACAACAATAATAACAATAATAATAATAATAAAGAAAAAGAAGGAGAAGAAGAAAAAGAAGATCTACAGCTCCACATATGACCCAATTACCAAACAGTGTTCACTTGAAAATGCTTGTTAAATGACATAGGCTTCGGGCTGGATGACCAAAATTAGAAAAGAGATGTCGGTGCAATCCAAACCGGAACACTGTTCGGTAATTGGGTCATATCTGGAGCTATAGATTTCAAATTTAGGTTTACTTTATATGGATGGAAAGGTAAGACATAGGCCTACAACTTTCATAGGAGCACAAGATCTAAAAAGGCCATTTTCAAGTCCAAATTGTAGCAACAACAAAGAAGCCCGAATCTGTCCTCCAGCTCGAGCACTGTTCAGTATTTTGGCCATATCTGGAGTTCTAGAAGTCCAAATGAGCTGAATGTTTTACACAAGAAATCTAAGACAATTGCCTACAACTTTCATGTTTTCAAGTGGCTCCAATTTTGACATTATCAATGATGTTTTAGGCAGACAAGAGAAGATAAGAATTGTCACCAAGTCAAGAGTTGGTCACCCACTCATCAATTAGTCATCAAATCAATAGTTCCCAATTTTGGCCTATAAAAGGAGGCATTTGCCATGTATTTAGGCATCTTAGTTTCCAGATCAAGATCATGCTCTTGCTTTCTCTCTTTGTATTTTTTCTAATGTTTATGCTTTTGACACGACTAAAAGGTTGATGTCTTCTCCCAAGTGCAGGAGTGTCGAAGTAATAAATAACCCGGCAAGACCGGGGTCGACCATTTGCCTATCTTTAGGTGTTAACCCTTCATAGAAATGTGAAACCAATCTCCATGTTTCAAAACCATGATGGGGGCAAGTATTAAGCAAGTCTCGATACCTATCCCAACATTTGTAAAATGTTTCTCCCGGTTTTTGAGTGAAAGTGGTGATTTGTCTTTTGAAAGAGTTTGTTCTATGAGATGGGAAAAACTTCTTTAAAAACTG